TTGCATCACCACACCTGGATTCCATGGTACATTTCTCACAAATGCTTTTTCAAAGTTCACTGCCATTCGCGCTGTTAGTAACTCATCTTCGATACCAAGCTTACAGTCCACGCCCTTTGAACTTACGAGCGCCAGACTTCGGGTGGGAACAGTGTATCTTCCTGTTCGCGCGTTGGGAAACCAGAGGTGAGTCGTTCTTAGCAGTGAAAAGTTCTCTGCCACTACGATTACTGCAGTATGTGCAGATCATAAGAGTCATATAAATTGAGGCACGAATACCCCCTAGGTTTCAACTGACCTTGTCAAGTCTGTTTCCATGCCGTTTCTGACTGACAACTACAGAAAGATTGTTGGCTTGAACGTGGTAACACCGAGGTGAGCATTGACACTATCGTTCCTTTTAAAACGAGCAAATAAATTTTGATCGCATTATTGCTAATCTAATCAGTCAAGACGTAGATAAAACTTGATGGTCTATTGTTCCTCCATCCACCAATGCGTTGGGAGACGTATTCAGCCGGGAACTTCTGCTACAGTTTCCCTAAATTCCCTGACATATGCCAATGGAAGAAAGGGGATAAAGGGCTGAAAAAGTCAAAACCAACCAAGTGAGGATATCGGGGGGGGGGGTTCATACCAAAATCTGAAGGAAGTATCAGTGCAGATTCTATGTATTATTAGGAGGAAGTGCGTCTCCAGGTCCATTGCGATGTCAAGGTGTGCTGTGCATACAATAATAAATGATACTGGTAACAACACACCCCCTCCCTGATAAAAATGTTCCATTTTTGTTCGTTCATATTAAACCGAACAAATGTTCACCATGCTGAATTTCATTAGGGACATAGTTAGTTAGTGGAAATGATACCTGTGGTTTGATGTCAATAATTATTGGCGCTCCCCCACTCTTTCGTGGTTTCTGGACCATCTTCAAGGTTAACACACCTACTGGTCAGGGTTCTTCAAGCGACGAACCGTCCAAACTTTCGCAACAGTAATAGTACCGCAAATATTCTGAAGAAATGAGTAAACAAGAGATCAATTTACGTATTGCCCCGGGAAGCGACCTACCTGCAGTAGCTCCACACTGCGTATTCCCTAGTGCTACGTATCAAGTGATCTTTTCATATGAAAGTTATTACGTATCAAGTACACTTCCCGAATGGTGCTGCTAACACCAATACAGAAGATACACGGTCTATGTATAAATACTGCCATTTAGACTACCGACCAACCCAACATTTATTTCCATCCACTACAACAAGTATTCCCAGTGGAACTAATCCGTATTACCTTTAAACGTAACATGGTGACCTGGAAATGCGTTGATTTAGACACTCACCGTGGTTATATAATTGTAGATAATCTACCGATACTCCAGATCGCATACATGGGTCCTTTGTGGTTAGCAAGGCTAAAAACTGAAGAACTTTCTAATGAATAGACGGTCATAATACTGAATAACGAGCTATGCAGACGAACTAACAACGTCGGCCAGTTATAACGCAAACTTCGAACACTTAGCGCTTCTGTTCCTGATAGTGGAACCTGTCTGTGTGATGGGAGATGAAAATCCATGCCCGTCTCATGAACTACGGCAAGCTTTAATAAGATTATGCATATCGATGACTTGATACGTGAATTATTTAACATTAAATACTATTTTGTGAACTTTCAAGAATTATCAGTTGGACGGTGCTTGTAAACTGGTATCTCTCATATTAATTCCATTATATGAGGGCAAGAATCATTATTATCCAAAATTCAACACTCCGTATTCGCTGAAAAGTGACGTTTTCTGGTTCGTTTCATAACCAGCGGGATCTCCTGATGTTTTTAATAGAGTCTAATGACATTCCGTCTGCACCATTCAGGACTCGCAAAATCTTGTAGATTTTGTAACGCATATCAACGTGATGATGCCTGTAAACTGGCTTCCCTCATTTTAAATTACTTTTCGCATGAATGTATCGGTTGTTTGTTTTATTTGTTTATTACTCTGCATTGCTTTTATTTGCTGTTTTATTAATGTTGAAGCTGCAGCCCTATTTTACTTTCTTTCAGTGGTTATGCGTTTTTATTATTCAGGCTTTTTTGATTTCCGTTTGGGGCTTTCTCTTTTTTGTATGTGCTTTGGCATTCAAGTAAGGTATTATCTATCATCCTGCACATTAGGTGGGGGATGAACCTTTTGGAAACTTTGCGATTACATCTGCAGTTAGGATATAGAAAAACCGCAAGCCCCGAGGAACTGAAGGACCGAATCCTAATTCTACTGGGGACGCTTCTCTCTTTCTGCTGTTGAGACTACAAATGCGGCAAGCGTTTAGTCACACTTGTATCACCTTCCATCTTCCGGGATCAAATGCAAGCTTACTGTCGTTTTCCCATTTCTGGAGTTAACCTGCGTGTATTCATAGGAGACCTGAATTTCCTGACTAATCCTCATAGTTCCTTAACATCGGCCGGAAGAGACATTTCAGAAGAGCCCCGTTGAGGCAAGTCACATACGTGTATCACATAAAAGGGTGTGTAGTACTAAACCTTCAGAAACTCTGCCCGCACATTCTGTCTCCAGGTAGAAGAAATGTACCCGAAATGTGAATAAAGGATCACGTAACTATGATTGTAGCCAGTAGATGAAACCCGAGTTGACCTGGATTAGCCTGGTTCTTCAGTAAGGTAGTCATTGTCGACGTGGTGAAACGCTTTTGAAATTTAGATGGATAACAGCACTTCGGGTCAGCAATATTGATTCACTTATATACTGGTGTAAGCGGGGCACAGTACCTCCTTTCAAATTCAGGCTGCTAGGGCGTGTAGGACTTTACCGAAACAAGGTAGCCCCTCACTCTGTTGTAGATTAATGCCTCCAGTACTTTGAAAGGTCTTGATAAGGAACTGTGAAGTATCCAAAACCTCGTTCATGAGAAGGCTAAAACTTTCTGAGGGCTTCGTGGCAACGTCAAACTATGGGAAAGTCAATCAGAGTAACTATTTGAAAGGTGAATAAAGATCACTTCTAATCTGGATGGCTACGAGGTAGTCGTCACTCGTTTAATTTGTAAATAAGCGGGGGAATTAAGTAAACTACGCCATTCAAGGCGGACTTAAAAGCTCATGCATGAACTACTTTCAAGAATAACTTCAAATAACCAGTTCATAACGTCCCCTAAAATACATTTCGCATTGCGGGGTGATCGGATCAAAACTTGCAGGGTTTTAAGTAATCCAAGCCACCAGAACAGCGGAATTTTACCAGTAGATCACTCTGTCAGTCTTCGTGGAAGAACGGAAAGTCGTGCATCAAATGGCAAAATCGTTTGCATTTCTTTCCCCCTCGACTTTGCGGCCGGTGGGACGCATTACCTGCCAAGATGGTTACTACCGTCTCTGTGACGGCTGCAAGAAAGGTTTGGACAGCTTCGCAGTGATACGCGGCTTATGCTGTCACTACTAAAGTGAACTCAACCAAATTCTGTAATCTCCTTTTGGATATCTCACCTTTTCAATTGCCATACCCTCACTGATGTCATTTCAGTTTCCATCATTATTGTCCTTACCAGGGTTTTGCCTGTTCTTTTTCTTCCCTCCGACTTTGTAATTTCGGCCCATCCATCAATTCTCTCCATATTACTGTTTTGTCCCCATTTTGCCCGAATTTAACTGAGTTACCCCCTTTCTACCGATCACCTTCCTTTCGATTTTCTTCGCGTTTCTTCTCCTTTATTCTTATGGTTATTTATTGTACTTTTCATCTTTATCTTACGGCCAGTTCGGACAGCTGTCTGGTAACATGCATTTCGAGGAAAATATTCGCGCCAGAGCCCCAGGAAAAATCGTAACAATAAAATATCATGTAATTCAGCTCATCCGAACAGTGAAATTCTGCCGAACAGTCACTGTGGCGATCCGTGCGGTAACTCAGGGACAAATACATGACAGAGGGCGATAACCCGTGTGCACCGACACTTCGCTCTGTGAGTTTGGGGCCACTGTGACTCACTGTCTATCCAGACGGCCACTGCTCCCTCTGTTGGCAGCTTCAAGGAGAAGTTTGATACAGCCTACCAAACCCGCACAACTCAGCGCAGCCAACCCATTACCTAATCTCCTGTAAGGTCACCATCATCGGGAACCTGGCTCAACCTTATACTCCCCAAGGCATCTCCTCCAGCTACCATCTCCTACCGTTAGTATTAATATATCTATTACAATGACCATTCCTGTGATATTAACTGCTCCTTCTCTCCCCTCTTACCTCATGTTCTCAAACTATTTAACAAAATTTCTCCATATCCCTTGTCTCCGATGAATCTACCTAAGTTCCTCCTTCCCTTCTGTTCTGCTTCCTTTCACCTTACCTTTTTTTTGTTTCTATTTCTTCGCGCCTCCTCCCTCTCAATCTCCCTGGACACATTTTCTCGCTCCTTCATACAACCAGTCTTGCCAACTGTCCGGTGGTACACCACCTGAGGGAACCATCTACGCCGAAGTCCCTGAAAAAAACCATACAACCCCTACAAACTTAATCAGCACCCAGCCACCCATCGTGTTAACCAGAGCCACAGCAGGTGAGTGGGTAGACCCACCTCATCGGAATCCACCAAAGGTCTGGAACCGTTCTGCAAGACCTATGAGCGAGAGCGAGAAAATCATATGGTTTACACCAGCTAGTTAAAAGATATTGGATACTGGATACAGTTCTCTACATGTCAGACTCAGAACGTACTCCAATAAGACAGAAGTAGAACCCAAGGAACCGCCGTTCACTAATTCTACAATATGAAGTTTGAAGTTTGATCCGCCGGCTCTTCGGGCTTACCAGAACTACAACAGACGAATGGTTAGATTTTCTAGGACTGTTCGCCAACGGTAAGAAGAGAGCGTGAAAAAATCAATTTGTTCATACATGCCTGTAAGAAGGTAATTGATATTGGATGGCTGACCTTGTTTAAGAAATGCTGGTGGGTAGTTGACTTCAGTTTGGTACGGTTAAGGTCGTGTTACGCACAGTCAGTTGTCTAGTTTCGTTCAATTATGTTTGAAAGTGCATTAAGGTGGCAGTGGTTTTGCATAGTTAATTCTGAATGTCATGTTACGTGAACTCTTCCTTTGTTGTATGTCAAGCAGACAAACCCTCCCCATTTTCCCTCGTGCATCTGTGTACCGTATCGACGTCTTCTTCCGATATATGTGATAGAATTATGGTGGAGCTTGGGGCGTATAAATATGTATATGCCCAGCTTATACACTACTTATGGACCAGACTTGGTCTGGTGCCAAACTTGTCAGGATAGTAATCTATTGACAGTAAAACCAGTAAGATTAATCGAATTCTTTACATGTCTTATGTATGTCCATGTATAGATTCCGAGCCTTTAACCTCAGTATAAGACACAGTTGCAAAACTAACGCAAGCCCTGTGGGCTGCATAAGACCGGTATTGCTTACCACCTTAAGAGGCTCTGTGTTACTTTGATTGGAGTGCTTCGGACTTCTTACAAACAAGTTTCATTTTGAGTAAGGGATGGAAGCAGATGACTCTTCCGGAATGTAAGCAAATGTTTTCATGAGCAAATCACTTAGCAGTTAAATTTTTCAAAGAAGATTTTGGTTTTTCCTGTGGAGGATAACCAGGCTGACTCCAATCCTTTGCACAACCGTACTTTAAAAGTTTATGTCATATATTGGTATACCATTTTTTTTAAAATGACTACCATTTCGTTCTGTTTCTCCTATCCATCGCTATTAATGTAGCAGAATATCATTAGGTAACTCAAAACTTTAGGACCGAGCTATATGCGTGTATGCATTCCTTTTCACGCAAGTTTGAAATAGTGGAAGTCTCTGCCGTAGCACAGCACCCGCACCTCTGTGTTGATGATTTCAGCAAGATTTTGGGTCTACACGGTTTATATGAGTTGACCTGCTACATTTCTTGTTTTAGATTCGAGTTAACTCGGCCTGTGTGCTGCGTGTCATATTTTGAAAGTTGTCAGACAGTTGCTGGACATTTCGAATGTTTGGGTGTAAAGTTACGCCTAAGCGGTCTAATCATGAATTGATGAACTATAGTCCACCGTATGTAGATGACAGACCACCTCACAAACTTAAAAATGGCAAATACTAGACTAAAAAAGCCCAAATATTCTCGCAAAGCTTATCCCCAGAAGGTTATCTTCTTGCATATGGAGAAGCCTGAAGAGGCACCCCACTATTTTGTTTAGCCTGGACTTGTCACGCAAACCTAGTTTGTTGTCCCTTCTGGCAGAAATTATTTGTGACACAGCACGACTCATGTCTTTGAGACAGGTGTCAGAGTCAAAAACATGCGATTTTTAGATGAACATGAGACAAGTTGGTCAACAGTAAACTGCAAATGAGTGCGCCAGCTTGGGTTGTCACACTTCACAACATCTCAGAAGGGTACAGTGTACAAGAAAAATTGCTCACAGGTCGAGGGATGACAAAATACCACGTCGTTTACGCTTTTCCAATCGATTCTGAATTCTCAGTAGTACTAATTTTGTGGTTCCACTTTTTTGAAGTTTTTCAAGGACACATGGAAAATCTATGATCTGTTGTAGAGGCCAGATAAAGCCCTAAAAAGCAAGTAAATATTACAAGTCAAAATTGGCTCTGTAATTCTCCACAACCTTTAATTCAGTACGAGCATCCAAAAATCGTGAAGTTTTTCACCGTTGTTGATTGTAGAGTTGCATTTCAGGCAACATGCGTAAATAATAAGGCTCTACCGTCTCACTTGTGCTGGGAAATACGACTGTATCGTAAAACCTAATGCGAAACAAGTAGCATTACTGTCTCGTTCTATTATCTCACTTGTCTTTAATCAGAATTTTGGGGCTGTTTTATTACGGATGGTGATCGATTTCTTCAAATCACCCTCCCAATCTTTTTTCCGGATTTCATGAGACCACTGATGTCATGTATTTTGAGTCCTTCATGGTTAATTATCCTAGTGGCGAGTGCATTCGTCTGTGCTGTCGATTTTCTGTCTTATTTATTGGTCATGGGTTGGTGGGAAAGGTAACCACTTGGGGGTATTTGACAATTATATCACAGCAGCACAGTTTCTAGTTCACAAAATTTGGGACCAATGATACTACTGTTGGAAAAGAGCTAATCATGACCATAAGTTTGTCCATAAAGTCTTTAACTATTGTTAGAAATCTGATGTAGGGATATGGTACAATTACATCAAAAAGGTAGGCAAATTGGCTATGTTTCGGTACTTATCAATTTCCTTAAAGGATATAAAAGTGACTTCGTTGAGCATCTGTACGAGACCTCTTTGGTGTACATTTACTTTATTTGAATATTTCTCAAAATCGCAGTCAACATTAAGTTGTTGCAGATAAGTTTCCACTTGTGATGTAGTGTGATATCAATAAACATCCTTATTCGTTTCATCGTATTGGAGAGTTGTACTGAATTCGGCTAAAATAAAAACAATAGTAGCAACAATAATAAGATTGAAAAAATCCTCTACTTCTGTACACTAGAAACAGCTTCAATAGAAGTTTCTTATAGCACCCGTGTTTCGTTTAATGCTAAGAAAAGGGATGCGGCTCAGCACTATCTGTGAATGGTCTATTACATTCAGGTTAGTGATAATACGTAATCGGTTATGTAAGAGACTTTTTAGAGCATAATTAGCCGAGTGAACTGGATAAACTATGTCTGTTATTTCTCTGTTGGTTCAATACACTTGACTGACGGCCGTCCGCAAACCACAACGAAACAAATATCAGCCAGGAATCGAGAAAACGAGATCAGAAGAAATGCTACTCAGAAACACTAAGTGTATGTGCTGTTCTCAATGGGAAACGGTTTTACGTAAGTGCTAAGGACATAAAAAGTGGCGTGTTAGCTAGAGTATGGGAATTGTATATGATCCCCTCTAGTTGTTCCTGTTCACTGGTTGTTCTAGTCTTTAAGAAAGGGGAGAAATCCCGTTGTAATAACCACAGGGAACTCAATCTAACGAACATAGTTCCTAAGACCTTAGGTTCTATAATTATCAGACGTCTAAGTGGAGCTCAGGTACAGCTAACCCGAGAAAACCAGGCAGATTTTGAAGCTGTTCATGGGTGTTGACCAGATGTTCACTGCACCAGGTTCTCGAGCACAGGCACGGTTACCGACTCTCGACACCGGGTGTATTTCTCGACCGGAAGGTGGTATTTGACTCTATCGATCAAGAAATATTAATGCATTGTCTCTTACTGAACAGGTTATAGAGTACGTATATCACTCTGTTGAAAAATAGAACACCCGTGGGCGTGTTAGAGCCTATGGTGAATTAGGACGTTGAGTGGTGTCCATTAATTGTATCCACTCTCTCCATTCTTTTTCAACTTTATCATGGACGTTCTTATTGCGGTCTCCTTCTCGTCATCTGACTTCACAGGGATTGATCTAACCACCAGAGAATCCTTGGTGAATCTAGAGTGCGCAATGACCATATATGAAACAAGCTTTATCCGGTTACGTTAAATATTTCTGGGTTTTGGTAAATTTCAGAGTAATTATGGAGGCTTAAGTATTAGCAAAAGTTCGCTAAGCCAATTTATTTATGGTTGCTTCGCGAAAATTACTTCCTTTTTCCGTAAACCCGAATGATCAGCGACTGAATCTTGGTGGAGGTAATTATATCTTATTTTCATACCCTAATTTGTGTTTCATCCAGCTTGACTTATGATCCTCAGCTAAAACATGAAGATTTATGGGATTATTCTGTCATCAACTGCAACCTCTCTGATTTCCAAGTTATTCAGGGTCTTATTAACTTGCATAACAGTTAGAAAGTTTGCATTGATGTCCCACTTAGCTACTTGACAAATATTTTCTTGGTTGCTCATATGCGGTGAAATGACCCTACCAGCAATGCAAAGGTTAAGTGTATAGACAAGGTCAAGGGGTAAAGCTGCACTTGACGGATAATTGGTTCGAAACTTCAAAATTACTGCTCTAGTTCTCTGCACTAGTAAATTATTGCAGTATGGTTTATCTGTGCCGATCCTTTATTCGGTATTCATCAGATATTTTACGTGTAGAATATCTGACTCGTTATTTTTATATTCCTTCTTACAGATGGTTTCAGTGCTGAGAAAAGTATCTCATCTTGAACAAGGATCTCGTTACTTTTGTACAAGTATTCGTATTTGTTCTTCTGTTAGTAACGCCAGCATTCCTGCCCCAAGAACTAAGATTTACTCGCATTTGGAACAAGTTTCTCAAATACCCTCAGTTATTGGCAAATTTGCCACTTATTCTGAAAATGACTATTCACTTTTTATTGAACCATTTCTTAAAGTTGAGTTGACTGAGGAACTCAGAGCTTTCAATGATCTCTCACTCCTGCTTCGAAAACCAACACTTAATACAATTAAGGATTTAATCGATCTTCAAAATTTGCAAAGGGAAAGCTTCAGAGAAGAAACTAACTCTTCTGATTCTGTTATTTTAGCAAAACGCTCTGTTCCGCGATTTGTATTTTATGGTCAACCTGGAACGGGTGTGTCTACCACTTTAGCACAAATCACTTGTTTTGCTGGCAACAACAGGTGGCTTGTATTTCCTTTCACTGTATGTGAAAACTTCTTGGAACCATCACTTGATATTGCTCCCAGCAATGAATATCATTATAATCAACATCGTGAAGAATTTACAGGTGATGCTTTTGATTTTCCAGCTCGTTCTGCTGATTGGCTTAAGGTCTTTCTTAAGATCAATCAACCACTGCTTGAAAAGGTATTTATTAAATACATTTATTACTTAATTCTTCTGCTTCCACCTCCATAGTGTCATCCTTGGGTCATTTTATTGTAAAATGGTTGTAATTGTGCAGTAAAAACTCGGAAATCCTTCGTGATATACTGCCGCTTCTTTATTTAAATATATAATTAGCTTAGGATCTATAGGGAACACCTTATGTCACCGTGAAGGACTTGCGGTCAGTAGTAAATTGACTGTAATGTGGATAGTAGGTAATATGATGAGTGAAAGAGCATTTTGTCGAATGGCTTTCATCTTTTTAATAGATACTTGTACAGTTTGGGTGATTTGCTTACAAAATAATAACACTGGATAACCATCAGTAATTTAAAGGGTTACTATTTCAGACTCAATGGTGACAGTACTTGTTTCATTGAGATAAGCAAACAGACCACGTAGAACCCTTCACAAAAACTGCGTTAGTCTACGTGACCAAGCTTCATAACACCAAAGAAAGAGGAAGTGAATAGACGATACGAAGGTTAACAAAAGAGTGGATTGAGGGAGGAATAAAATTACCATGTGAAAACTTTAGTTATTGGTTGCATTAATTTTGGTACTTATATGTAGCAAAAATCAATTCATTGATGTAAAAGTTCTGTTCATCATAAATGCTTTATTCATAATATCTACGTCAGCTTTCCGTAAAATAAAATGTCCGGTTACAGTAAAATTTGTCAGCTATAAATCTTTTCTATGTACTGATTTTTTTCACAACATTAAACGGTTAAAAGATCATGAATAAAATAAATTTAAAAAAAACCAAATTGTTCGTATCATGGGGCTGGCAACTAAGACTGCAAAACTGATGTCCTTTGCGGTTGTAATAGACCTTTTTTCAGAATTTCGTCCGACAAAAGTGAATATATATTAGTAGAATTTATTATTTCGTTTGAGTTGCTGTGACTGGCTCAACCAACAGTCTCTTACAAGCATCTACTAAAAGTATGCGATAAACAGAACAGGAGGTTGACTAGCTATCAGGCAATTGAAGCCACATTTAGCTTGGGGATAGAATAGTAAGTTGATTTACGAACGATGTACCATATTTTTAACGCTGGACAAGATCTGTTTAGAAGTAAACGAATCCATTCGCTGTCAATCTAGTTTATTAAAATATTGAGTTAGATGGTGTAAAGCTTGGAGTGTATGTTGGGCATACTGAACCATTATTTGCCTCAAGGGGTGATTTTGATTGGTTAGAAAGGTGGCCAAAATTAGAAGACAATGATCATGGGTTTTTACTTGGTGCATAACTTTGCTCTTAGCCTGGGACTCATACAGTGCCATTGGTTTAAAAAACCTGAGTAAAATGATTCGAAGTCATTATCATTAATGCCTCCACATTTCATTTTTCCCTAAGTTTTAATTATTATATTGTTGTAGGCCTATTTTCGTTACCTTTTTTGATAACGTTATACTCGACTGAATGTAGAGTTGGGGTTCATTTTTCTGGGCGATCTACTTTCATGCGGTAAGCCACGGGTTCAAACCCCACTCCACCTACAAAGGTTTGGGCAGGCAAGTAGTACATATATAGCCCTCACAATAAGTGTGATTCGTTGCCTTGTGACAAACGTTCATAGGGTTTCTGAATTACAGTTCATTCTGTTTAGTATTCTAATCTCTTTTTGGTGGTGTTCTTTGCTGTTGTTTCGGAATAAACCAGCTTGAGATAAAGTTCTGTTTTGGCAAGTTTCGATTCATTCATCCTTTTTCTGATTTTTTGTTTAGTTTTACAAACCCTCTGTCAACCACTGGATGGTATTACATGTACTGAAAAATTGTCTAGAATACACTTAAGTATTTTTCAATCCAATCGAAATTTATGCAGTATATAAACCCAGGAATAATATTTTAGACAATGTTGTTATTCACATGATCTACTGACTAGGTGTTACCTTAGATTAGCTGACTGACAGATAGACAGAACCAATATAGAATCTCGCACAAGTTCAAGTTGCCACACTTCATAGTAATATACAAGGAACAAGTGGATTGAAAAATAATGATATCGAAGTAGATAAAGTTGTGTGAGAGATAATAAATTGATTCTCTCCACAATGCACAAATTTTTCATGGATGTAATTGTGTTAGAGAATAAGCAATTTGAAGATGAGGGTTGGTGCGCATATAAAACCCTCAGGAGACGTCAAAGAGTGAACACTTCGCCGCTACGACCGATTTTCAGCGATGTCACCTAGAGTCCTTAACCCCTGGTCCTTATCGTCTCGGAAACCTCAACCTGACTGTCTACACCTCCCAACACGGCTCAAACCAACATTTATAGACTTCATAGATTACCTTACGAAATACTTCAATCTGCTTCAGCTTAAATTTATGATACCTATGTATAGAAACTTACTGCACTCAGCATAAAACGTGAACAACATCCGGATTTTTAACACTAACGTCAAGTCAGTGATTCTCTGTGATGGTTCAGAAACTTGGCACGTTACAAAATGCATTCACAACAAATTGAAGACACACATCACATGAACAGCTGCCTCCTACTCTCACTCGATACTCAAGATCAGATGGCCAGAATAATAAGAATAAGCAAGTAGGAACTCTGACTGGCAACGAACCAACCAACAACCTATTGCCCAACAAATATACAGAAGAAAGCGGAGGTGGGTCGGATTGGATTGGACATATACTGAGAAGACCGTTTGAGGACATCATGCACCAGGCCACACCAAGCCTTCGAGTGGAACCCAAATGGTAAACGACGAGTTGGGCGTCCGATGTGAGGATGACATGGAGGAGATCGTGTGAGGAAGAAAAGAAAGGTTGAGTGGAGTCGTGGAGCCAGGTTCAAAAGACTGCAGAGAATAGAGTGAAATGGCAACGTGCAACTGAATCCCTATGTCCCACTAGGAACCCAAAGGACAAATAATAATTTGTAGATATGACTGATTTAACTTGTCTCATGCAGGTATTTCATGAAGCACTTTATTGATTTTTACATGCTATTTAGAGTTTACTTCCTCTACTTCCCTGTGTTACTAGCTACACTTATTTTGGGCTTTGTATTGGTTCCCTTTCAAATTACTTTTCCAACATGTTCATAATTCTCCAGAAGACTGAATAGTTGTGTTTTGAGCCTTTGAGAAGTGAAACTAATAAAAGTGTGTCAGTAAAATTTCACTTGCAGTTGTATTTATCAATTTTTATGTACTCTCGAATGATGGACTAGCTAACTACAAAATCTCGGTGATTGTGTATCAGTAATTTTCGTTGATTGATTTCTCCTCATATCCTCAAGGCTTTTTTTTTGTTGCAAAAATGATACCTCATTGTTACATCTTCCCTTTGATTGTGATTTTGTTATGGTTGTTACTTACTTGTTAGAATATAGGTGTATTTTTCTTGTAAGGACTGAAGTAATGCACAGAACAGTGCATTGTTATCTCTTGAGTGTGTATCTCCAATCCTTATTTTAAAAGTCTAAACAATACAACACTGACTACTGTTCAGTGACAGAAGTTTATTTTCTGCAAAAATGAAGTCTGTTATGACTCTTCATCTATTTATGATAGAAGATTTTCGAAATTAAAAGTAAAAGTTTTGTATTTTTCTATTTAGATAAAACCAGTCATTTCTCGACAGGTGGAATGGACAAGAAAGGATATAATGCCTGTAGGGACATGTTGGGTGGATGTAATCAATTATTGTGTTGCCAGAACTAAATACGCAACAGACTGTATTGGGATTCTACTAAGAGAGGTAATACATTTGATCATTTTTATTATTAATCACAATTTACTTAGACAACAGACACAGATCGTGGAATTTTAATGTCTTGTAGATTTCATTAGCGGATGTAGTCTTTTATTGAAAATATCGGAGGTTTTTATAACTAGTGAAGTGCATATTAAAAGAATCTTGCCTTCCTTTTTAATGACTTTAAACTAATCTCTACATTCAAGAAATGTATCTGATGCAAAATAAGTAGCATTTCAGTGAGAAGTATATGAAATATAATAATCATCTCGAATTTGCGTTGCGTAATATGTACCAACACCTGAGTTGTATTTCTAATCTGGAAGTGGTGCACCACTTTAGTATGCTTCCACCGACTTATCAACAAAGCTACAAATATAATTCATGTCCTTTCCAAAGTATTCAAAAAGTTAAATGTAATTCATCTAACCGGTACAGGTTTATTTATCAAGCTATAAACCACACTTATTGTGTGAGGGCTTATGATGCTACCCGGTTGTCCAGGTCAAAACGAGGTGAGTGAGATTTCTACCCATGACTCACCTCTTTAAAGTCAATGAGCCACAACTACCACTCTTATCCACAGTATGCTGAAGATAATGCTAAATTTCAGTAAGATAATCCTTTTTAGAATCAGGTTCGATTTTGAAATGAATCTTACTCAACGCAAACTTGTAACTCATTCATCCTCTTTTGCATATATTAGACAATTTTGAATTGTCTATCTCTCATTTAATACTTTCTGAAATTGATAAGGTTATTTATGAAAATACTACTACCAAAAACCAGTATAGGTTGAGGCTCACAGTTCTTCACAGTCGTTACTTCAACAAACTTCAAGCTGAAATTCATGTCATTCGTAACGTAACTTAACTTTCCTGTTTTTTTTTCACTACAAACTGCTGTTTGTGATAACAACCGACTGAATAGTTCACTTGTATACAGTCTTTAATAAGTGGTAGCTATTTCTTTCTCCGTTGACGTACAAATATCAGCTTCATTATCTAATCTCTGATACACCTTAGGAGTTTGAGGGATATAGAACAGCACTCTGTGAACCCCCGACATTCTACTTGAAAGTCAAGTTTATAAATGGTAACATGTTCATATGTACAACTATCGTCAATGTTGATCAGCGGTAAAAGGTGTTTTGTAGTCACTTTCCATCTAATTATGAAACAGATGATGACAAAATTTGTTGATTCTAGTTCATATAATAGTTAAATAACACTACTAACATTTGATCACATATAAAGTGGTAACGTTACAACTTGGTAGTTAGGTTAAATCAGGCTTTCATTTCATGCGCAAATGCAGCAACATGTTGCTATACTGAGAGTTATAAAGACATATATTTCTGTCAGTTTTGTCTTTTATAGTTGTTAGAATTCGATATTTCCCTGGATCATCACTCTCTGTATAGCTGATTTTGCACTCTAAATAAATAAATATACACGTGCACAATAAACCACTGTTTAGTGGTGGCTTGTCACTAAGTAGCCATGCTTAATTTGACTGATTATCCCTATTGGCTGAGTGGCCAATGAAATTTCTGCACGAATACTAAAGGCTTGGCTGGCTCTTGTCAACTTACGCCACCTGTTGCACCCTCCTGATATCAGAATGTCTGTTAAGGGTCTACTGCACAGCAGTCCACTCTGTTTTACTAAATGGCTATGAAACATGACCATTGAAGGTGGAAGTTATGAGAAGGCTTCAAGTGTTTAACCACCGTTGCCTTCGTAGTATAGGACGTATTCCATGGTGTCACAACGTGAGTAATGCAGAAGTCAGGTATAGAGTTTTAGGGAGAAGAGGTAAATCAGTGGACGAGGTTATGAACCTTCATCGATTGAGATGGTTGGGACTCGTACTACGTTTGCCTAGTCACCGATTGCCTCGTCACACAATGTTGGCCGAAGTAGGTCGAGGATGGAAAAAGACCCGAGGTGGCCAGACTAAAACATGGCACCAATGTATGAAGTATCTGACTGCTGGTTTGAGCCATGTGGGGGTGTTGCAAACTGAGTGGTTGAGGTCTGCGGGACAACAGGAACCAGTGGTTAGAGACTCTTTGTGATATGCCTGAGAACCGATGTCAGTGGCACAGATGTATACACACATTATCCTCACATTAACGCTATACCGAATCTCACCGTTTTCCCATTCTTCCTTTCTCTCTTTTAATAGCTTATATTTCTTTTAAATGAATTTTGTTTTCTTCATCTTTCATTTCACTGCCTTTTAACTTCGTGTAGTGATATGAGCTGTGGCAACTCGGACCATTACGCAGTAATGCCTGGTCTTATGTTAATGGGTGATGATGATGAATTTGACTAAATGCTGTTGTCCTGAAGAAAAGCAAGTTAGACGATTGTGGCGCTGTTTTATCAACTGTCAACTACTGAGTTTCGATTGAACAGCTCTTAAAAAAGTAGACATCTTGGATTCATTAGGAAGTAGAACCTAAATAAAATGGCTGATGTTAGGTAGCTTTCCAGTCGGTGTCCATTTCGTGATAAAAGCTGTCTGAAATGGTTAATATCATTTGACGAAAAAATCGTCATTCTAATGACATGGAGTCCTGCTGTTATAACAATCTGTTGACAGAGACTTACCCGTATACTAATTGGAGCACCAGTTTAGAACTTTCATAGGTTTCACACGTCGTAATAGCTGGTTTTTACACTCTGTACCAATTCTTTATATGATTTGAAAGTTTTTAATTATAGAGTCTTGTAATTTGCTTCCATAGAATGTTCAACTCAAACATTTACTTTTTAATAGAATTTAATTATTATTGACCAAATTTCTTTCAAAAAGTGCTAACTACCTTTTCAGATGCGTTCTCTTTCGTCTACTCCCGATGGTCCACCCTGTCTACTTGTCATCGACGGTGTAAATTTTATATGGTGTAGGGGAACTTTATTACGGGATAAAACCCTTTGTGTCCAGATTAAACCAGATCGTTTAGCCATTGTACACCATTTGAAACGTGCATTGAAAGGAGATTGGCGTCATGGTGCCATAGTTACTTCTACAAATATTCGAGCAGCTTGGCCTACGGATAGAGAAGAGTATACTCCTGGGTAAGTCGGTAAAATTATGAATTCCTTTCTGCCGTTCACCATCATATTTTCAGTTTTATCATTTTTTGTTATTTAGCTAAGAAAATACTTTTGCATTTGACTCCCTATTCCTCAGGATATTGTTATTAAGACAATAAAAATTATTTTGAAAAAGTTTTTGAAAAAGAGACCTTGTAGCGAAATTAAATTTTTCATTGATGGCACTCATAAATCATTGTAGGTTGAAATCCTAGATTTTTAATCACTGAAACTCTTCATTTGAAAATATTATCATTAAGTCTAAGTCAGTTTTATATTAATGATGGATACTGGGCAGCAGCAGAATCCAGGAAGCGCGTTTTGCCCTATTCGGGACTCATCAGCTAGATGTACTCACCTTCCAGTGAGCGATGTTTTTCGCACCAGGACTTGAACACAGGACCGATCGCTTTAAATGCAAGTGTTATCCACCAGGCCACTGAATTACGATGGCCAATTTTTATTGGACGGGTATAGTTTTAATGTTGCTAGTTGTATTATCCTGTCGTTGCTTAAACCGATTCCTATCGGTCTCTATTGGTATGTAGGCTCCTTTGTGGATGTCTAGATATTGCCTACGTTTCAGTTTCACATTAATGATGGATAATATCCATCATTAAAACACAGGCAATATCGAGGCCTTCGCATAGGAGCCCATATGTTAATAGAGACCACTCAAATTCGGTTCAATCAGCGACGGGATAATACAAGTAACAACATTTAGTCTCTCAGTGTTGCAATGTTAACAGGTATCAAAATTTAAATTCAGGGCGTACAGAAATTCCTATGTGAAATATTTCTAGTGAAGTTTTATTGTTTAGAAGTAGAAGCGTTTTATGACACATCATGCCTTGTTTACTACAGGGAACGGTTCCTTATGAGAGAATGCAGTTTTTGTAGCTATAATCATGATCAATTTCTAGTTTTTCAGGCTACCAAGTATTAACATTTTTGTTGCGAATATGTTGGTGGTTATTTTATTAAGGAATACTCGAAATTCGAATCTACTAAACAACTTTGTACTCGTTCGTACAGCAGACGACAAGCCACACTTATTGAGTCAAAACTAATACAACTACCTGGTTGCTCAGACTTTCGTAAGTGTGGCTGGGTTTGAATCCGTAACCCATTGGCGGGAAGTCAACAGCCAAAACCAATAAGCCACTATCCAACGGTTTATATCCACCTAACTTCAGTCTATAAAGCGCTCACCAAATCTTTCTGCGAGAAACCGAATTCACCATGTAATGAGTTTTTTGCTGAAATTATTTTGTTTTTTGTCTTTATTTTTACATGTGAACTATGCTGTCTAACCCTTTTCAAATTCAACTTTATCTTTATGTGTAGTTTTTTTCCACTAAGCTGCTTGTCGTTGACTAAAGTTCTGACCTGTCTGTATCACTCTGAATCGCTAAACAATCGGTTTCAGAAACCTGTTCTTTAGCATGATATATGACTCAAGTATTTTGGAACCATGCATACCATTTAAGCTGGTTTCTGTGAATGCTCAAACCTTGATACTGACTGGACAATAGATACGTTTAGCTAGTACTCTGCACAACCTCTCTCTTGATGTGTGCTATATTTCAGAGACCCGCGCACAATATCCTGGTGAGATGCTTCGAATAACCTTCACATCTGTCAGCTCAAAAAGTGTATTTACAGTGCGCTTATCCAGGTATCCGTTGACACAAGCCTGTGGTCTTTGTAGCGTTGATGTCAAACCAAGCACCACAGCCGAAGTTTCACTAGTTGACTTTTGTTACTCTGGAAGTCTGGAGTAGAGTGATAAACAATTAACTGAGGGGAATTATACTCATTCGTCATCTCTACGTACTTTACAATGACTGCAGTTTCACTGAAGTTAAAAATGTGTACTATTGGTTTCGTGACTCCTTCCAAGTGCACTCGAGTAGCATTTTGGCGCTAGCTGGGTATGTGGATGCCCAAGTGAGGCACCTTGGCTTAGAGGAGGGTCGCTTAGATGTCCAATCTGAACTAGTTGGCCGTACATCTGACAGGGAGGACCATTTTCTACACACTTGTCCAGATCACAACCTTTTTCTAGCCAGCTCAAACTTCCAGCACAACTATCGCCATTGTGATACCTGACGTACTTCCTCTATCACCGAAGCCTGGACCCAAATAGATAACACTGAAGTCACTTCCCGACGTTGCAGGTCTTTTCAGGACTGCTTCTGCCTCTTGAATACCCGTTTAGACTGGGATTAAGCTTTAGTACTTACTAAGTTCATCTTATATTTTGGCGGTCATTAAAATTGTTATTCTGAGCTTACAGACGTGAAGAAATTGCCTGCATCTACTAGACACTGAAAATATCGAGTAAAGCTGCTCGAGACTTCGAAGAAGATCCCTCTGGTAAACACTAGGTCTCTATCAACTCCTTGATTCTCATTGGTTTATTCCGACAGACGACGAGTTATACAGATTCCTTAATCCCCTTGCATATCAGATCGCATAGCACTTAAATAAGAACCATGAGGCTTGGTGGTTAGAATGCGCGAATAAAATGAAGGCAGGAGATACATTGAAAAATAGTAAATATTTTTCACGTAGGGTTACATAGCACGCTTGTTGATAAGCACATTTTAATAAAGTTGAGTGGATAATCATTGGCTTTAAACACTTTGTACAGGTATTTTCCCCTGGTTTTCTGTAGTGCTTCGGTGTGTTTTGACTCTTGTGTGTATATAAACAAACAAACATTTCTCTCTAGAATTTTATTTAAAGTAAGAATATTTCAAAGAATAAGAAACTATATGAGCAGAATAACTTCCAATGGGGATTTTCTCTATTCTATTTCTGAAATTAATTATATATTGATGTTTACTTTATAAGTAGAGTCTACCATTTATATTATCATGTGCTAGTGATGTTTCAGTGCAATATTTTACTTTCTATTGTGTGTATATGCATGTGTGAAAATCCTTTAGTTATCTATTGGGAAAATCTGGTTTCGAGTGTATGGATCCATTTGTTCCTGTTCTTGTTGATAACTACACTCCATCAGAAACTGACGCTTTGTTAAGATTTTATGAAGAGAACAAATGGCTTACAAATCCTGCTGCTTTTACACCGAATGGACGAGCTGAAATAATCTTCCTCTCTGATAATAATCCCTTAGAACTTAGTCGTATTGCTGCTGAATGGTAGACCAATTTCGACTATCATATTCAGATTGCTTTGAGAAGTGTTTGAAAGATATGGAAGTTGTGTACACTGCAAAAAAAGGATGTCCAATAAGCATTTCAAGGGAATACTGTATGCATGAGCATATAAAATAACTTCCAACCTTTTGTACAGTTTCAATTTATTCTGTATTCAATACAAATAAAGTGATTACGTGCATTATTTCGTTTTCATTGTATCTGTATATAAAGTGATGTTGAAAACATTTTTTAACGCAAAAGATTTTTAAAGACTTGAGAATCTTCAAAATGATTCGTATTCGCAGCAAATATTTGAGTCGAAATGCTGTGAGCAATCTTGTGCATATTCTTGAAGTACGCAATTAGCTACACCTATTGTGTGAAGGCTACTAATACTACCTGGCTGTCTAAAAGTCGGTAGGTGAAGCTGTGTTCGAACTCGCGATCCATTGGTTGAAAGACAGCTGCCCAAACTAATGTGCCACAGTTCTAGCATTGGTGTAACACGAACTAGAAACCGTAGTATTATAGATACCTATTTCCTTCTGTTCAGTGTTTCTTTACATATTCGTATTCCTTTTGAAAAACAGGTCATAGATTCCTCACTGTCTCGTTCGACTCAGTCGTATTGACAACAACTGTTATTATTGGTACTGTTATTGAATTAATATTTGGACAAATAAACGCTAGACTGGATAGTCGAACTGATGTTTTTCTCAAACGGGAGTCGTCTTCAAATCCAACTGGTGAATACCATAAGACCGAAACGGCGAACCGATCGAGTCATAAATGTGTATTATTATGATGAATTAATAATAACACATTTACAAATGACATGACGACCATAACAGAACTAAAAAATTCATCAGATAGTGAATAGTTAATTAATTATAATACAATGATATTACTGATGGCTAGCAGTGAAATCCAGAACGCGTATATGGCCGATCAATTCGGTCCAATCAACACCGGAGACGTACAACTCTGACATCGTAAAGAAAGCCATGCTATTCCCGCCACACAAGAAGTGGCTGTCGTGACTCAGTGGTCTAGTGGGTAACGCTCTGAAGTTTACAGCGATCGGTTCTGTTCTCAGTGGGAACAACATCACTCACCAGGAGGCAGGTACACCCAACTGACGAGTCTTAAATAGGACGGAACATGTGTCCTGGATTCCACTGCTAGTCATCATCCATCACTGATGACACAGCTGATATTGCTGACAATATTGAAGCATCCGCACGGTTCATGAGCTTATAGTGGCCAATTAATTTGGTCCAGTCAACATCGGAGACAGAAGCTATAACAGCAAGAAAACTATGATACATTGGTTATTAGTAAGCAGAAATTCAATGACATGTCAGTGTCAGTATCTTTTAAAATACCTTCACTGCTGGGACCAGCATTTCGAAACTGTTATATTTGCTCCTTATACATGTGACAGGCTTAGATGTATCCGGTGTATTTAATGCAAAAACTGCAATTTTTTCCTACTTAAACCTGTGTAGTTTAATGCTTTGTATGCATATTGAATCTGTTCAAGTACTCAAACAGGTCAAATTGTAGTAACTTGATTAAAATTCTGCATGTCATTAATGTCTTAACTTTATAACCATCAATATGCTTTAAGACCTAAGTTATTTGATGTTCTGTGTTCCCAAGTCTCGTTGGTACCATCATTGATGTCTCCTCAAAAGATGGTAAGTTCGTTGTGCTGCATTATCATGATGGTCATGAGTTTACTTTCCATATAGTGGTCAGCACATCACATCCTATGATCTTGGCTTAATAATCTCTGCGACTTTTGCAAGTACGTGCAAACTATCAGAGTCAAGCAAATTGAAATTTGATTGGTGGATGGTTATAATTGCTGACTGAGGAAAGATAGATCTGGGAAGTATTGTTAGGTTGTAATATTTTGTTCCAAAGTAAACTATTCTTTGGACTAGGTAGTAGGATATGTTTAGAAACTGGGTGTGGGGTATTAATGTATGTGAAAATTTGAGTTACAAATTGAATGAGAATTCGCTGTTTGATCATGGACATCACCTGATTTTGAGACTGCTGAATCCATCTTGAAAGCGACAAAGACAACTAGTAAACCTTGGTCCAATGAGTTGGAACATTTATGGGTGGGACAGTACTACTGTGAGTAATTCAGTTTCGTCACTAGTACTCATCGTCTATCTCAATACTGATCAAAGTGATGAGAGTTTTTTTAATCAATTAGAGAAGTACTCGCCTGACCAATGCTGTTTATAGATTATAAATTTCATGATGACATGGTATCCTGGCATATTCAAGTAGTTAACGGAAGGGTATATTTACCAGACTGTTACGCGGAACTTCACTAGGTTTTCATGAACGGGAAATCTCCATATTATGTCGTGGAACAAAAATGTAACTGGAAACAGTTGATTATTCTTCAGTGCGGTCATGCGATTACTAAAATGTTCAATAGCAGGTTAAAAAGTTCCTGAAAACGGAAGAAAGTTACTACTCTGGCTATGGTAAGGCTAATAAGTGCACGTAATATTTTTGAACACAAATTTAGTGAAGTTTCTCATGGTTTGGTTATGTATGGATGACATTGCCACAGTACTTTAAAATCGTAGGGAGGTATTTTGTAAATCACTTTGGAGAAACTGTTGGTAGGGGTTAGATGTCTAGACATGTTCGAGAATAGAACTTTTTATATCCTTTCTCTCTGTGCGGATAACCAAGCGGAACAATCTTGTAGAATATATTTACAAACTTCACGCTATCCACAACTAAGCTATGTTACTCCACAAGAACGACTGAACTGATAGATGCACATTTATGTGGTCAAAAACAGTATTCTATCCGTAACGCATCGATAGACTAATTGTCAACTGGAGAATGGGATTCTTAGACAAACCGAGTGAATGATCTTCTTTAAACATTTTAAGACGTTTGAGGACTTCAGCTCTGTCATCTTCGAATTCCAAGTTCATGTAATAAGTTCTCTTTGAGGTAGTCGGTAAATTTCGTCTTGGCTCTTCCTTCATGTTGAAGTCAATGAAGCTGGGTGGATAACAGTTTCCAAGTAGGATATTATGTGGAAATTTTAGCCCACCGTCTAATAAATTGCATCTTATTGCATAGAACATGTTTCTTTCTCCTCAGCTGCCAAATGAAACGTGACATGAGAATAAACACAGTGTTTGTAAAGTTTTACTATAGTGAGAAATTAAAGTGTGATGATACATTATTTATTTGGATACCATTTATAACTAAATAATAGATAATACCTATCAGTGGGATCCAGGAAATACGTTTCGTCCTGTTTGGGACTCGTCACTGGATGTACCTGCTTCCTAATGGGGCGTCGAGGGATCCGCACATGAGCCCATGTGCCAATAGAGACCGAGCAATTCGGTCCAGTCAACGACGGGATAGTACAAGCAACAACATTAGCACTCATATCTGTATAATGGTTTTATAATCAATTTGGGCTACTTTAACAGGTCAGTATTTATGTGAAATCTCCTAATTTAACAGTGGAATCCTTATCAAGATTTTTATTTTGACAGTATACCGAATTTGCTATCGGATAAAAATTAATTCATTGGGAAATGTTCAACTTTGAAATGATGTACATTGAATAGCTTCATGTGTAGTTATAAGATTTCAGGGTAAGCTACCTGTATCTGGATATTTTTTTCAGTAATTTTTAGGTTCGTTAAGGATGATGTTAGTAAACTTTATGCTTCTTAAGAAGTACATCTTTCAAATCAGTTTTCTACATTATATGAAGACTCGTGCATAACCTTTGCGAACAAACAAACTCTATACCATTACAGAGTTCTCATCACCGATATCTTCGTAGCATTGCTTGCGTTTGGTGGGATCACCGCGTAAGCAATGTTGAGTTCAGGTGAAGGGTACTAGGCAAGACAGACAAGTCAACTGATTACTTTGTGAACCCTTTGTCGACTGAGATGTCTCGGACATGTACTTCGAATGTCGAGCCACTGCCTAACTCGTGCAATATTATGAGGAGTTGAATTAGGTTGGAAAAAGGTTCAGGATGGCCACACCAAGATGTAAAACCAGTCGATGAAGTCCGTGACTGTTCACCTAAGCCATGTGGAGAGGTGCAGACTGCGTGGTTTGAGTCCCCGAGACGATAGGAACTAGCAGTTGAGGACTCTTGGTGATATAGCTGAAAATCGGTCACAATGGTGCAGATATATTCACTCCTTGACGTCTTCTAAAGCTTGAATATTTGTGCTAACCGTTATTTTCAGATTGTTCATTCTCTTACACAACTTCGTCTACTTTGATATCACTCTTTTTTCTATCCATCTGTTCTTTGTGTTCTACTGTGAAGTGTAGCAACTTGAGTTGGTACACTTTCGTGGGAAGTTCTTCGTCGATTTTGTCAGTGAGTTTCGATCCCATTTTGTTTTCACTGTTGTTTATTAATTCATTATTAGTTAATTTTAAAAGCAATAAATACTTTATTCGTTGTAAATTTCTTATTGTCTTTGTTTTTGTTGTAGATATCCGTATGCCGAGTCTTTAAATTCAGAACCACTATTAGTAGATACCATTATTCTTCTGGACTTTTCTCATCCATATGTAAATGTGAACAACTTCAAATGAACACTAATTCAGTTAGCGCCTATCGGAAACAAGCTGTAGATAGGCTTTATAACTGGTTAACTACCAGTGAACTTCCATTGAAATCAGCTTCCAAGCATGCATTAGACTTAAGTTCTGATTACGAGTATACTACTTATGATCCTGCTACACAGATACCTTTAGCTCATTACAAACAAACAACTTTTTCACAACTAGATAAAATGGCTGTTAATGCTTGTAAAGCACAAAAGCAGTGGATTGATTTATCATTATTAGAACGTGCGAAAGTGAGTTATTTTTATCTTAACTTGTTTATTGTAACTTTTGATGACATCGAAAATCATCATAACTAAGTGTTGAGGAATTGAGAGTTATTTAAACAGGGAAAGGTCAATTGTGTTACTTTGTAGGAGTTTGTTACTTATCAAGTAAAGCAAGCTTTTATCAAGTTGTGGTGGTATATCTATAGAGTTAGGAGTGTCAAAAAAGTCCTTTTCCTGACATCTGAATTCATCTATGACCTTGCAAACCGTTAGCTGATGAACTTAACAGATGTTCGAGCTCCAGAATGTGGCGAAAGGTGCAGATAGGAGAATTGTGGTCATTGGCAGGTTAAATCTATGAACGAGCAATTCACTCCAGTATCCACCTTGCATAAGATAGTAGTATCAGAATGCAGGGTCGGGTTGTCTCTCAAAATTAATGAAAACTTTTTTTACCTACCAATAACTCTTGCTTTAAGGACTGCAGCTTGATTATATGCACAATCTTAATTCCCTTCTAATGTGTTGGAAAATTAACATTGCTGAGAAATACGGTGTCAGCGATGGCATTTACATCACCTCTTGCAAACTCTCTATCCTCGGACAGCCGTGAAATATAGCTTTGTTGTCCAACTTCTTGCCGAGTGTTAGATGAAATAAATAACCTGGTGGCTTGTGGTCGCTGAGGATCAGGAAATGTTGTCATGTTTCGGATGTTACACGCCAGCCATTCCAACTACATTTAATTTAAGACACACTAATCCAATTTTCGCTATCCAACAGGCTGTCTTAGATTGGAAAAGTTCCTTATCATCAAAATTGCTAACAGAGGTTTCTGGATTCGAGATCGAGGTCTTGTAAGACTGCTACTTTTAGCTTCTCATATAGTGCAGCTTCGATGACACGATCTATTAGGTTATCAACCTGGATCGTAGCCTCTGTTAGAGTAAACACACTTAGATGATTTTAATTGTATTTCACGAAGCTTCTTCGTTTTTACAAACCATATATGTTGGTCGCTGGGTCCATAACATGGGAAACGTATATTGTCAACATCATATCGTCAGCAGAGTTATACAACGCACCTCATGGTGCAAAGCTTGTGGAACTCACTTCTGGTATCTGAAAACAGCAAAGTATTAAGTAATTACAAAAGGATATGAGAATCATGTTAGTTGATTGTCAAGGTTATGCTAAAAGATCCCACGATAGATTTTTAATGAATCAAAGGTAGTTAAATACTGAAAAAGTGAATTATTCGTAAAGATAAATGTAAGGATAAAGCAGCCAAAAGAGCAGTAAAATAAATAGTGAGTGATGGGTTGCAGTAGGATTCAAACCAGCGGCCTCTGAGCTACGTTTCTGGCGCTTTACCGATTAAACTATCAGGCTCAGCTGCTGACTAGGTCTTAACTTCACTTCTGTCGCCGAAGGTTTTGCTCCATTGCTGTGTGAATCCGTGATGCGTAACTATCCGCGTATCATAATCACACTGACTGCCCAACCAGACCTTCTCCCAGTCAAGCTGAATTAGACCTGTTCAGGAGCTGCGTCTCGTAGTTCACTTGATAAAATATCGGATTGGTAACCTGGAGGCCGCTGGTTCGAGTCCTGTCGTTGCCCATGTTTTCACCATTAATTATCATTCAGTATCCTTAAGGAAACAGTTTACCAAACTATGACTATCAGATAACAAAAAAAACTATACTGATAAGAGATATTGAAAAAACTTCGAGTCACCTATACATAGTATCTTTATTCCAGCATATTACAGTGTTTCATCTCAACAATGAAACCGAAAACGCTGCGAATGGTATGACTTTGACACGTCAAGAAACAGCACAACTAAGTGGATAGTCATGTATTTAGAATGAGGAGCGGGTTTTCCAGTAAGCTTTTGACAATGATCAGTCAAGAATTGTTAGAAGTAGAGACACAGGAAGCAGAATGTATGATGAGTACGGCATCGTATATTTATTTCCACGCATAAGATTTAAGTTTGAGCACCAACTCAATGCTAATAATGGTTGTGTGGAAAATTGTAATGTATGAAATCAAAGGGTAGAAGCCAATGAAGAGTGACAACACTTCCATCGGTAGTAAATTTGATAATACATACAAATGAAACTCGTTTTTACAGATATTTAGGAAAATGTGCAATCTAAGTGAAATTTGGACAAGGAAAACTTAAGGCATAGATGAAAAGCTGTTTAGTGACTAGTCCCAATTAGACCTTATTAGTGAAAGAAGAAGAAGAACTTGTGTTGTACACTCAACCTGATTTATTATTTCTCAATGAAAACAAAATCAAGGTGTTTCTAGGTCCATTAAGTGGTAATCCTAAATCACTTAGATATATATTATGCATACCTGTATGTAATTGGCTTTGATTCTTTTTTCTAACCTATTACACAATAAAAAAACAGCTGTGTAGTGGAATATAATTCTTTTATAATATGCTCCAGATTCTGCGAAAAGTCGGTGATCTTGTTCGTAGTGAAGCAAGTTGGCTTGCTGAATTAGAAACATTGGATAGTGGGAAACCACTGTGGGAGGCTCGGCAAGATATCGAAGCATGTGCAGATTCATTTGAATTATTTGCTGGGTTTATTCCGACGTTTACTGGAATTCACACCCCAGTTCTACCAAATCCTGGCAGGTATTGAAAACTGTTTCCAGTATATTTTCCTGTTTTGTTTTGCCCAGATGGTGCTACTACTTTGATGTAGTGGTTGGGGCTTGCTTGTAATAATCCGTTCAAGCTATACTAACTGAAAGGTTTATTTCTTGAGTTACTACCATACCAGGAAGCTTAGTCTTAGAAGAATGAGACTGAAAACAGCTAACTTCACCGTAATATTTCCACAATGGAAGTATAAAATAATGATGCCTGAAAGTGAAATTCTACTGCTGGCTGTACCGAATGTGGTAGTAGTAAGATGTTTCCCAAGAACCTATTTTTTGTCGGAGTAACTGTTAAAAAATACTGATCCGTAAGGTAGCGCACTTTTCTTTTGCCCCATCGATTTCAGATGGCAATGGTGAGGGTTTTTCTCAAGAAAGAATTCAACTGAATTAAATCTTAGTCAAAGACGTTCCAAAGAACAGATCATATCTAACCTGAAGCAACTATCTCTTGCACTCTGTGGTCATCCTGCCAGGTCAATAAGACTATTTTATGTTAATCCACTTTGTCTTTCAGGTACTTCGAAGAAAAGTCACCTTACACTATATGCGCATCCACGATGCTTCATTTGTCTTCGTATCTCCGTCACCACTCAGGATTTATATCCACTACGGTTGGTAGTGTTGTCTAATATGAAAATTTGTACATTTATTTGCTAGATAAGTAGATAAAGGTAGAATAGTGTTCGAGTTGCCAAATTTATCAAGCAATACAGTATAAGAAATTCATTCAGAGGGGTAGAAAACTAACAAAAGAATGATGATAGTATCGAAAAGGAATTAGAACAGAGGTGAAGAAAGAAGTATGAAAGCAAGAAATAAGGTGTAAAGTAAAATGTATTGGCATACTTGTTATTGATACTGGGATAGTGACTGTATACGTCGGCACTAGGATAACCCTATTCTGTGTAGCGGACTTCGTATCCAAAGAAAATGCCTCCTTAACGTCCTCAGACTCAATGGATTGGATCTATGTATTGCTATGATAAATCTATAATTACTTACACTCCCCTATTTTGTTTGCTATTGTATGTTGCAGTAGACAGTAGTAGTTTAAAAATCTCTAATCGACCAAATGTTCAAAAATGCATTTATGAGGTACCCTTCTTTTTCCCTTATATAACCAGGGTAATATGTGTTCGAAAATGAGTTTTGAAAGCGAACGCTTAATGTAGTCAACCTACCTTACTCCATAGACATACAGAATCAACGTAGAACCTCGCACACAAGTACATCACCTCAAGTTGCCACACCTCACAGTAGCATACAAAGTACAGGTGGATGGGAAAAGTGATATTTAAGTAGATAAAATTATGTGAGAGAAGATAAACAATCTGCAGATAACGGTTAGTGGAAATATTAAAGCTTTAGAAGACGTCAAAAACAGGAATACATTTGCACCATTGTGACCGATTTTCAGTCGTCACCAAAAGTCTTCAACCATTGACTCCTATCGTCTCGAGGACCCCAACTAGGCAGTCTACATGTTGCCATACAACCTAGACCAGGAGTCAGAAACTTCATCTACTAGTGCCTCATCTTGATGTGGCCACCTGGAACCTTCATCCAACCTAATTCAACTTGACTCAGTATTGCACATCGAGGTACGCAATAACTCAGCATGCCCAGTACATGTCCATACCACTTCAGTCGCTGATAGATCATGGCCTTATCTATTAACTTGCCTTCCTTGTTTAGTATCCTTCACCTAACCTCAACATTGCTAACATGGTTATTCCACTGGACACGAGCGGTGTTATGGAGTTACCTTTGGTTGAAACTCTAACTGCTTCATTTCTTACAGCCGTATAACAGGACAGAACGGACTGTAGCGCAGTACACTTTTCTTTTGATAGATAGTTGGATGTCTCACTAGTCGGCGCCACAGGTGACGCAAGATGGCAAATGCCAAATGGGTTTTTTGTATCCGAGCTGAAATTTCATCAACATCCAGCCTGTTCAGCGGGTTGATGCAACTCCTTAAGGAAGTGCAGTGGTTGACACTCCCCACCATTTTATTCTCTATCATTAAACTCGGAATAGTTGAAGGTGAGTCCTCGAGGATCATCTAACATTTGTCAGGTGCCAGTGCGACGCATGTGAAACGTCCTCAGTTTTCTGCTCAAGGCGGTCAGAAAACCCTGTATTTTGTCAGCGTTTTCATCTAGCTGGACAATATCGTCTGGATGCTCCACGGAAGCAGGCGAATCCACAAACGCATATAGAAGTGACCAAGGAAGCTAACTTACCCTTACTCATAAGTGAAGCACTGTGTCAGTAGAGAAAGTCAGTCTTATTTTGACAGCATAGCTATTTCTCAATGAGCATGCTAAACGGTTTCTTGATATATCTACATATGGGCCTCAGCTGAACTGTAAATTCATGAAAAGAGGCTACTAAGGAACCGTGAAAAGAGAGTGATTATTCTCCTTCATTCCGATGATGCTGATTTGCAATCAAAACACATTTTGGCGTAAATTATCAGGACTGCAGGTAGTACAGATTTGACAGGATAAAAGTGAATTAAATTTCTTCTTGAGTTTAGAGGTAACCAACTATGAAAATTTGTAAGTTGACCGTTCCACGTGCGTTTTCTATGGACAGACTTTTTGAGCTATCGAATATGTCTTTTTAGCTGCACATCAAGAAGGGACAACTAAGAATTAAGTCCCCTCTTTAAAATGAATTTCACTGGAGGATAACAGTTGTTAAGTTGACATAAGATATCTCGTAGATTATTCATATCATTGACAATGATGGTGGCGTCATCTACCTATCGCTTATAAAGTTCGAATCGGTTGTGTATCCTGCTCCAGTGTGTGACTTCTAGCCGTGACATGAAGAATTCTGAAGGCAAGAAGCCCAATGATCAACCCATAGCTATATCATCTTTCTGCCTGTTTATTTCACTATTTGAATGGAAATTGAACATCCATTGTTCATCTCAGTAACAACTCCTTCTGACAATGTGTAAGTATCCCAACACTTATTTGATTGGAATCAATATAGTCAGACATGTAATATTTTCTCTCAGTCAATAGGATGCTTGTAAACAATGAACCCTCTGTTGTAGATTGTAATTCCATTTTAGTCTGTTTATTAGAAATGTCACACAATGAAACCTCATCATTTACTGAATACCCTTTCTGACACATTCTATTGTCCATTTTCATATCACGTAAATCAACAACTTTGAGACAGTTTATATATTCTCAATGTTACTACTAATAGTAATAATGGTGAAAGGATTGAGAGAGAATTCAATTCCTCTGCTGTGTTACCATACAAGGAATGCACCTGAGAAATATTACGAAGAATTCTCAATAAAGTTTGGATTAGAGTGGAGTTTAAACCAACAAACTCACCTAGAAGCAAGCGCTGTACATTAAAAGATCCTATGGATGCAACTAAGTGAAATAATCTGGTTTACCGAATCCCTTGCAATGATTGCGAGTTCAAATACCATAGGTGAAAGTAGTCGATGAGAATAAGGGAGCACAAAAACTTAACTGAATCAAGATTAGTAGATCGTAATAAGATGAGAAATTCAGAAAAGTGTTCAGCTATTATGGTGTGCAGGCAATTACACACAATCACATAGTATAGTAGGTTGAGATAGAGCGACAGTGTTAAAAATCAACTTATTTGGTTGGAGGTGGGGAGAGATTGATAACCGAATCTTTGTTTATCGAATCACCAACAAACGCATGCAATCGAAATGATTCTGTACCTGTTCGAGATATGTGGAAAATTCTACTACCCTTATCATCACAAGGAGGTGGAGAAAATTAGTCTGTGTTAAGTCTGTGTTAAAGTTGTGGGATTACCTGATATGAATATGAACAAAAAATTGTGTCTGAAAGGTTATCCAATAGATGATAGTGTTTTACTGTATGGGATATCTAATAAACAGACTTAAATGAAATGAACCCTCATCTAAAAAAAACATAATTCTGTCAGAGCAATTAACATTATCTATAAAATTGTCAAAACCAAAGGGATCACAAGGTGTATGAAGTGGAAATTACCTCCTTATGGACTCGAATATTTTAGACTAATTATCAGGTGTTAGGATGATAAGATGATCTTTTCATGTGGAGAATAAGGCAAAGATGTGTGCCATACTTGTAAACTTTTGACACTTCATACAGTCAGCAGATATTTGACATGGATGGTCGTGGGAATTCGAATAATTCGCAACCTATGAAAGAATCAATCAATAATTTTAATTACTTCTTAGTTCACTCCATTTTATTCTTCTTATTGGTAGATTTTATAAATTTTGTTTCATTAAAAAGGACAGATATGAATCCATGCTGGTTCATCAATGCGATACTTGCTTCTTTATCGCGACGCACCTCTAAGATCTCGTTGTTTCTCAATTCTCTGATCTCTGTTTCCAGTGTTTCTTATTTCAGAGGGACCAATAGATTGACTTTGTGGTAACGAACTTGCATCAGTTGTTAGGAACTTTTGACTTGAAGTGTTCCATTTGTTCTTTGAATGCAAGTGCTAAGCCATAAGTTTGATTTATAAGGTTATCAAAGTGAACTTCAGTATGAAGTTTGCTGATGATTGGAAATTTAGTGCAAAACATAGGACCTGGAATATTACTGGTAGTTGAAATGTCTAAAATTTCAATATCTGATTAATCGAAAACATATTTCTCTGAGTTGCTTGCAAACTTCTTCATCTCGAAGCTAAAAATCACACACTTGAGCAGGATAACCAACCGATTCGAACTTTATAAGCCACACATAGATGATACCTTCAATACTACGGATAATCTAGAAGATATCCTATTTCAATTTAATGACTATCACCTTGTAACCAAATTCACATTAGAAAAGGAACTTGATTCTAAGATGTCCAAATGTACATAGTTCGCGTTAACTGCACAAACAATGGAATTCCATATGTAGACAATGAAAAGATTTTGGCAGAAATAACCGATCACATCTAAAGCCATCAGAGGAAGCTTCTAAGCCAATTGGAGAAATGATCTCTAGGTTCACTTCTACTTGAATTTTGTTCTGATTATGTTGTTCAAAATGAAAATGGAAAGTTCACAATCAAACCATTCACTTTCGAGAATACAATACCATCAAAATATAGACCTTTACTCTGTTTTGAATGCTTCTTGTTTACGTTGTATCAGTTAATTAGTTTTATGATAGATAATTAAAGGATCCTGATCCCTTGAACCCTCAGACTAGGAGGCAATGATTATTAGAAGTTGAGTACTGTTAACTAAGGGTGAATGTTTTCGTTTCGTGTTGAAAAGCATACTAATTATAAACAGCTAATTTTGTAAATATATTAACTTCGTTTCGATTCAATTGATTGCTGAGTGTGAAGGAAATTTCTTTAACGATATGATTTGGCATCTCAGAGTGGGTGTGACTTAGTGCTCATGAAATAGCTTCAATATGAGCTCATATCATTATCTAGTATGTTTACCACAAAATTGGATCATTATTATGAGTAAGAACAAAGAACTACCAAGCCATTTCATCAGATAATATTATAGTGACAGATATTCAAGAATACTGTAACACTTCAGTGTATGGGAAAACGACTGAATGGGGTAGTCAGTATGACCCTGATTGTATGATTTATTACATCTTTACATGTGAAGCTGTGGCTTTTTGGTCTAGGCACTTGGTTCCCAGCCGATGAGTCGTGAGCTCGAACCCTTCCTGGCTGATTAAGATTTTGGCAGAACCTGTAAGCCGTCAAAAAGTAGGTATGACTGGTTGCATTTTGTGTACTAATGTGGATGTGGTTACTGAGTTACATTCTGGTTTGAACGCAAACAAATATCTAGTTGAAGATGATATTTTGCACATTTGCCGCAGTTGGTCAACTGTTGAATAGAGGGACTATTAGATAAATATTCTGAATTATCTGCGGACATTCGATATTGGTATTTATCGATATGAAATGGTTAGTTTTTTTATCATGTTATTGTCCCTGCACTGTTCTCAGTCAACACACTAGGCTTCATAGTTTTATGTAACTTTCTTAAGGTTTCTCTGTTTGAAGCCCATGAGCTAAAGACATTTACCTAAAAGTGGTAGTCTAAAGAGTAATATTCAGTTGTTCAAACGTTCCCATAATTACTGAGGCAAATTGTGTTCTCTTTTGCATACCATATACAGGTCAGAAAATAGGAAAATAGTACTGTCCACATATTTTTACTGTTTTTGAACTATTTATAGGCTAATATCAAATTACAATGAGATGTGACTTCCTATCTGTCAAAAGTGTTCATTTAATCAACTTGATCATGCTGTTACTTATATTATCTTGTGGTTAATTGGACCGAATTGACCGGTCTCCATGGACTGTGGCTAGCAGTGGAATCCAGGACGTGCGTTTCGTCCTATTTGGGACTCATCACCTGGATGTACCTGCCTCCCAGTGAGCGGTGCTGTTCCTGTTTCACAACTAGCAGCTATCGTGATTCGGTGGTCTAGTGGATAATACTTTGGCGGAGATTGGTCTCACATTCGAGTCTTCATGGGAAAAACACCACTCGCTAGGTGGCAGGTAAATTCAGCTGACGAGTCTTAACTAGGACCCTTGTCCTAGATTCCACTGATAGTCGCTACCCATTATTGTTCAACTTAATTTCCAATTCATTTACTTAAGGCCTATTTTAGTTGCATTTTTTGTACATTTCGCTTTCTAGTTTCTACTATACTAGAAGAGAACCTTTTGGACTTTGTGCAGGTATCGGTGCATGGAATTTCCCATTTCAGGTAATTCGAACTGTCTACGCTTGTATGCTATATCAAAGGAAGTTTTTTATTGTAATCAGAAAGTGATAATAAGATCATTAATATTGAAGGAATAATTACCTTCGTCAGAGTCTCATCAAGCCTAACCCATAAGTCCCAAATTCGAATAAACTTAGGGTATATGTGTACTAAAAATAGTAAGTAATTTGTATGTAAATTGCTGAATCCCAAGATGATACCCATCACGGATTGATATCAGCGGAAGAGCTATCGAAAACCCATTAGCATTGATTGACTATTTTTTTATAGAATGAAACTTCTTAGCAGTGTGCATGTACAACCTCATGAGGAGTCTAGCTCAAAACCATCATACTCCTTGATGAACACGTTATCATTTAACCGCTATATTGAAATCTGTTGCTTCACATTTTCCTGATCCTGTCAGTTTTCGATATAGCGCTATCATCCAATGTCATAGGCTAGTATTTCTCCGTACATTCAACTTGGTTTACTCTATCGGCCAAGACTTCTTATCAGAAAATTGGGAAATTCATCCCGAAGCAAGTGACTTATGAGCACTGAACATCAATCTAATCAATGTTAGAGTAAAACCTAGGCACTACAGTGGAGTATAATTCTATATTAGATTAGTCTTTTTGAAATAGCACACATACTGGATGACGTTTCGAGCAGGAGAATTACCTATGCTGAACTGCAAAATCAAGAAGGAAGAGGATGGAAGCTCAAATACCAGTGTTTATAGGAAATCAACATATCCAAACATATATTTAAACCTTGCATAATCTCACTCTGTATTTGTCAAGGTAGGCTCAGTGAAATATCTAGGTAACCAGGCTGAGTTTGACTGTTAAGCAAGAAAACCTAAGTGAGGAACTGAAACACATCGAAGAGACACTACTTCTTAATAGCTACCCCCCGGGATTTATTAAAACGTTTATAAGAACTGATAAGAGAAGCAATGGTAACGTTAGTAGTGACCTCAACTTACCTAAGAAAGAATTCAAATCCTCTAAAGTATTGCCATATAGAGCAGGCACATCGGAAATTTTACATAGAATTTTTAATAATGTTGGGATTAGTGTGGCATTTAAATCCATTAACTCGCTCAGAGAGAAACTTTGTAGGCCTAAGATCTGGTAGAACCAATTAAGAAACATAACCTAATCTATCAAATCCCATGTAATGATTCTGAGGTCAAGTATGTAGGTCATAGCAGCCGACGTAGATGAGTCAGAATAGCAGAGCACCGAGATTTTGGGAAACATACAATGGTAGACTCTGCTGCATTAACTGATCCATAATCACACTATGCGGTGGGATAGGATGACAATTTTGAAATTTTATATAGCTAAATGGAGGGAGATTGATTGCAGAATCTTTGTTCATTGAATCAATACCTAATACATGTAACAGGAATGATTCATCATATATTGCAGATATCTGGATAATATTACTACGCTTAAGATAAAGGAATGAAGTACGTTGGAAGGAAGTTTGAAAGTCATATGATTACTTAGATATGGATATGAGCCATATATTCTTCTCGAAACGTCATCCAGTAAATAATACTGCATCATTTTGTGGTATATCAAATAAACAACCTAATATGGAATTCACTGAATGCTTTGTTGGGATTAATTGATTCTTAATTGTTATTCATCATGCAGTGACATCTTTCGGACAAACACTAGATAATCTGAGAGCATTGGGTTTCTCAATGGTTGTCCGACAAGTGTTAGTTCGTGATGAGTATCACCTTTACTGACTCACTGACAAAGTTAGCGTAGAGCCTCCCATGCAGTTGCATCGGTTCAAGTTGCCACACTTCACAGTGGTATACAAACAAAGAACAGATGGATAGAAAAAGGAGTGATATCAAAGTAGACGAAGTTGTGTGAGAGAATAAGCAGTTTGAAGACAACAGTTAATGGAAATATTCAAGCCTTAGGAGATGTCAAAAATTGGAATACATCTACGCCACTTTGGTCGATTTTCAGCCATGTCAACAATAGTCCGCAACCACTGATTCTTAACGTCTCAGGCACCCTACATCTCCCCACACGATTCAGACCAGCAGTCAGAGACTTCATTGATTGGTGCCAGGTCTCGATCTGGCCACTCTGAACCCTCTTTCAATGTAATCCAACTTTCCTTAGCTGAGAACGTTGAGGTAAGCGGTGGCTTGGCAATGCTCCATACATGTCCAAGCCGTCAACAATCGACTTACCTTTCTTGCCTTGTACCCTTCGCTTGACTTCAACGTTAGTCACACGGTGATTATTACACCAAACATGAGCAATGCTATGAAGACATCTGTGATCAAAATCCCGTAGCCACTTCATGTCTTTTACTTTAACAGCCATGTCTCACATCCGTAAAATAGGAGAGAATGAACTACACCGCAGTACACTCATCTTTTGATAGGTAGATAGTCGGAAACCTCGCTGGAGCCACCTTCAAATATCTAATAGTTGTTTTATATCCAATGCAAATTGATAATTTGGTAAATAAATAAGCTGAGATGTAAAATTAACATGAGAAATTGTTCAATGTGATAAATACTTGCGTATAAATTATAGTTTATCAGATATTCTGCGTCATATTTTCCCTAATAATAATCATATAATCACTGTGCTTTTTTTCATTGGATGTAATCAATCATCGAATTGAAGTTTTCTAACACTAAGACAAAAATCGTTGACGAATATACACAATTTAAGAAAGTTGTTAAACAGTGTAGAACAGGCATAATCAGTTTTCAGTCACTGATAGATTGTTATTCGTATTTATAGAGTGGAAAAAAAAACATTCAGCTTTATGTACTTGATCTTGTAGTAATGTTTACATTAATACTAGATTATAGTTTACCACTGAAATCTGTATGAATAGAAGTTTATAAATGTGTCAAAACTTTGTGCTTGGTACAGTGTTAATTAGATTAAATTTAGTATATGTTGATAAATATCATTCTGGAGACACACGACTTATTGGTCTTAGTTAGCATTTGACTTTTAAAAAAATGAATTCTGAGTTTAAACCTGACAAGAGCTACTTTCAACTGGGTAACTGAGTAGTGTCATAATCTATTATACAGTAAGTGTGATCAATATAGCCTAGACCTGTACTAGTTCAAGTCATATGGAGCTGTTACTCAGTGGTTTATGGAGGTGACTGTTAGTTAGTGTGACACGGGTTCTAACCCCCTCCACCTACTGAAGTTTGTGCAGCTACGTAGTATCACTAATCCTCACAGAATAGGTGTGACTCATTACCTTCTGTAAGAATATACACAAGGTGGTTGAGTGCGTTTCGTTCAATTATGTGTTTCTGTAAATCTCATTTTACATAATAGTGAGCTTACAGTGTGTAGTTTAACAAAGTATACTACTTAAGTAGTTAGGAATAGATCATATCGATTTAGATGAGCTCTATTATCCAGTCCACTTGTTGTGTGACTTGTCCTTCACCTGGACCGAAGTAGGTGGAGGAGGTTTCAAACTTAGGCCGCGTTGTGTGAAATTCGAATTTCCAGTTCAAGAGCCACGAAAAGGTGATGTGAACATCGTTTTTGTTGTTTGACACTGGCATTTTTCATTTAGTAAGTTATGAGATCGAAACCAGCTTCGCATATTAGGTGTGTCTCATTGACTAGTGCAAACATCTGCCCTTGGTTTTTTTGAGTTACTTTGTTATTCTATCAATCCTATAATTTTTCTCAATGACAGTTCGATCTACTACATCTTTCTTTATTTTACTAAATAGCATAACATTATTCACCATTCCCTTGACGCATTTAAGTAGAGCGCGAACAAGTTTTAGAAGAATTTGGCAGATCCATTTTATTTCGGAGTCTACAGTTCTCCTGGTGTTCTGCATCGAATGATTTAGTGACTTAAAACACAGCAGTAAGCCTCGCAACAAAATGGATCCATACCATTCTACTGAAAGTGCTGTTTTCTCTCTATTTATATATTAAGATGTGTTATCTAATTCCCGTTGAACAGATCTTATTTGTTAAACTTTCAACTCCTGTTGTTTTTTATTTCTTGTAAGTATGCATGAGTCAACTCTATGGTGACATGCATCTGTCATCTTTTAGGGAAAGCTGGAAACCTGATAATGGTTCCTTTTCAATGCTTTCTGCTTTTTTCTTTTCTTTTCTAAAGAAATTGTGAAAGCAGTGAAATTTTTCGTCAACAAGCAAAAAATCATTATTTATTGATTTACTCGTAATTCTCCGTTATTTTACTGAATCGAAATCTTCGACCTCTATTGGCATATGGGCCCCTATACGGATGCCTCGATACTGCCTGGATATTAATTATGATAATTTGCTTGGTTGTGGCTATCAGAGGAATACAGGATGTGCGTTTCGTCCTATTTGAGATACGTCGGCTGAATGTGCCTGCATCCCCGTGAGCAATGTTGTCCCTACTGAGACTCGAACCTCGTATCCATCGCCTCAAATGCCACAGAGGTATCTACTATGCCACGTACGCACGATAACTACCTCTTGTACAGCACGTACTATTTATTACTGTTCATTGATATACTTGTAATTCTCCGTTGTTTTACTGAGTCGAATTGTTCGACCTCTTTTGGCATATGGATGCCATATACGGTTGCCTCGATACTGAATGAATATTAATTATGGTAAACGTCTAACTCAGCCCCCAATATTTGCCTTACTATTCGATCAAGTCTTGGTCACAATTCATATAAATTACTTTCGTAATATGCTACGAGGATCTAAATCCCTGCTGCTGCTACTACTACTGTAAGAAATGACGAGACTGAGATGCATGACAGAGTGTTTATTATGGCATCTTACGTAGTAGTGATGATACGCTTTCCGTTAAAATGGTCATTTGCACAATGTGCTTCATTTTATCTTCTGCTTCTATCTCGAATTGCTCTTGATACGCTCAGATTGTCTCTTGCGTTCCTCTGAGCAGAATATTTATCCATGGCTAGGAATTGCCCATGATTTCTGCCGCCTT